ATTCGTTACGCTGACCACGCGACACCCTCTATCCACAAAAGTTAGCACTAACTTCGCCGACAAGCGGCGGTCGCTCGGTCGGTATAGTTCGCTTGCGGACTAAAGCCACGGAGTTTAAATTTTAAGTTTTACCTAAGGTAGACTCTACTATCAGACAGGAAAATGTAAAGAAAAAATTATTAAAATATAAAATGTGAAGTAGTAAGTTGTGAATTTCGCGATCTGTTTCGTTTCATAGACATGATAAAAGAATGATTCAAATCAAAATTCCTTATTTCTCCCTCTTCAAAATAATGCACTTGCCAAATACGCGTAGTAACTCTCATTTCTGCACTCATGAATGAAAACCGTATGAGCGTTACCTCAGTTTCCCTCTCAACACATACACCTTGTTGCTTGTGGTAAGGTATCAGCCTTCCAGTTCCAGATGGAGACCTTAAACTTCACGCTGCACGATGAAACGACTGTACAGCTGATATAATCATATGGACTGCTACTTTAGAACAAACGCGAAAAGATTACGCCAAATATTTAAACGTATTTCATGAATATTCATAAAAAGAGACTACTGGGTTCTCCTCCTGTGGGGTCACGAATTTTTAACGCTTTCCAGGTCTAAAGCATAACAAAACTGCAAACACTCGTACGTTTCTCTTCCACGGTCGTTGATCGTTCCTTATTTGCACATACGCCTATGGAAGAATGGACTTTACATTCGGGATACTAAATATACAGAGAATATGATATTTGCATAGTGAGGATGTCAAGCAAGTATTCAGGGCAAATAAAAGCGGAGAGTGAGGGATTACATATATCAAAGCTCGGTTTACATTAAAGAAAAATAGTGTTAAGACTGTAGTGATAATTCGGAAAGCAACAACAGCAGCCACAACAAATTCTCCGGCATATTTTAGATACGAATTTATTTCAATAGTTTTATTGCATCATGAATATTTCACTCTAACTCCATATTACTTCTCTTTCCAATTACCTATCTACCTACCTACCTATGGCTCTACAGCCCTTTGTTGGACTTTGGCCGTCTTTTCAGTTTCTTAATCGTATATACAGTCAGTAGGACTCCTTGGAAGGGGGATCAGCCCATCGCAAGGCCACAACTTACACACAGAACAACACAAACACAGAATAAATGCACACACAAATCCAAGTTTTGAGTGGGATTCAAACTCACGATCCCAGCGTTCGAGCGAGCGAAGACAGTTCGCGGCCACTGTGATAGGATTTTCCAATTATAGCTCCGTTATTTAAATTTATCTATTTTTTTTGTCGCAGTTGTCATAATAATTCGAGTTCTGCATCGAATGATGTTCATATTACTAGCACTGAAAGTGTTCGCATTGACATCATGTAGGAGTGATAAAAATGAGACGTCAGGGTGTCTATCCTACACAATGTGAGCCGGTATCTAAAGCATAAAACATTAAAGTGGTGATGAAACACGACACAAAGACCATTACACAACTCATGCTCGGGAAATTCCAGTAACCAAAGGCTGATACTTCGCTTTTAATTTAAACAATTTCATTAATTACACTGCTGCCAAAGTGCGATCCTTAGACGTTTTTTCTTGAAGTGATTACGTTCGTCTAAGATCAGATCCTATGTTTTAGTTTGTTTTTCTTTCACCAGAGTGCAGGGCAGACTTATAATAACCTAAAAATAACTCAATGGAACAGAATCTTCTTTAGAGGCGATTAGTTGCTCAGCTGGTCAAGGAGCTTCCCTCCTTTTTATGAAGCCCAGTATTTTACAGGCATTTTATTTTCACTAGTGCTTAAATTCGCATCGACGAAGATATTAAAAGCCGATTAAATTCGGGGAATTGTTGATACCATTCAGTTAAAATATTTTGTCACCGTCTCCTATCTAAAAGTATAGAGATTAAAAAACAATTATAATTTTACTTCCAGTGATTCAGGTTAGCTCTTTCTAAGGGACTCAACTGAGTAGGTGTCTTCCCACCTCGCCTGAGGACGGAAACAGATCCAGTTTCCGAAACGTCGTGTTTTTTCTAGTCTCTAGAAAAAAAAGTCCAAAACCCAGCAATTCTAAACTATAATTGTAATTGTTTTGTTAAATGTGAAACTTGATATAGCACCCTAACGTACCATAATTTGAGTGTTTAATAAAAGGGTGCCGAAGTGAATATTTGAGCGAGAGAGAGAGAGAAAAAAATAACAAGAGGAGAAGAGAATTACAGCTTCATAATCTGTGGGGCCTCTCTCATCAAATTATTAGAATGATGAAACCAAGGATTAAGAAATTCAAGAAAATATTTCAGAGGGCAAGTCTTAAAGAACGAGACAATTTGGGAGAAAAAGATGTAGATATGATAATATTAAAATGTGTCTAAAAATATGATACATACTGCAGTCATCTGGCTCAGTACAGATGTCAGTGGCGAGCTCTTGTGAACACGGTAATGAGACTTCGAATTCCACAAAAGGCGGGAAAGTTCATGACTAGCTGAATGCCTTTCCCATCCTCGAGAATAGCTACCCTCTATGGAACTCGTTAACTAATAAGTTGCAAATATGAAGTATGATCAGACCTATTTTTAGACTTTTCAGTTCAGATGGAAAAGTCCTGATTTATTTACTCATCATCATCAGTAATCTGTCAGAAGACAGGTCCACCGTCTCTTCCAAAACAATTCCTCCACTTAATGCGATCTAGAGGTTTCTCCTTCAAATGACAGTATCCTCTTCTGTCCCCAAGGTCATCCAGCATCTTCTTACGTCTTCTTGTCACTTCTATCCGCCCCTCTATTTTTCCTTCAATAACTTCTATTAGAAGGCAGTTTCTGCGTAAAACGTGACCAATCCAATTAGCCTTCCTTTTTCTTATTTCGTGTAGGATATTCCTCTGCTCACTGACTATAATTAACACTTCTTCATTTCTCACATAATCGGTGCAACTGATCTTCTCCATCCTTCTCCAACACCACATTTCGAAACTTTCCAGATGTTTCTGATCTACTGCCCTAAGTGTCCATGTTCAGCCCCATACAGAGCTATGCTCCAAATGTAGAATTTCACTAGTTTCTTCCTCAAATTTAAGTCCAATTTGCTGGTAAAGAGATTCTTCTTCTTGCATAATCCTGAGTATCTTTCATTGTTTTAAATTATATTCGTACTCAGTAAAATCTACTGTTTTAAAAGTCCCGCCACTTACCTCTACACTTTTAGTGATTCTCTGTCTAAATCTTAGTTCAACTGCTCGATTATTTCGATTCGAGACATAAGTGTCTGTCAGTAGCTATGTTCATTCGTGTCTCTTGCCGCGTCTCTTCCAGTGTGATTCCTCTAGGTCGGATAGAAAGAGGTTATATTCGTGAAGTGGAGCACGTGTAAGCGAAGAATAGTGATAAAGAAATCTGTCTTTTTAAAATCAGTGACATTTGTTATGAGTTGTTGTTGGGGCTTGTTCACAATATCCCAGTCGTTACATTCTGTAATGATCGTGTTACATTTACGTAGCAAATTTATCGGGGCAGTGATATTGTCAGAACATAGAAGACAGCGTGGATGACCTTCAACCAAGTTCATAGCAACAAACAACCGATGGGGCGAAGTTCTTACATACAAGTAAGCCTTCTAACCTTTACATTTCTTACAGCAAGTGCAACTCTTTTACATACAAGTAAGCCTCCTAACCTTTACATTTCTTACAGCAAGTGCAACTCTTATATCGGGTATGATGAGAAAGTTACGACGAAGGAAAATTTGTGCGAATAATCGCGTTATTCTTTAATCTGCATATGGTAAAACTAAATTATTTCCACATCTGTGATATGGTAGGTCTGCTTTTAAATCAAAGTTGATACACTTTCATTATTCACCAAGTGATGAGACTTGACCGAGAAAGTTAATGTAGCAGTAACGCTCTAGACCTGTATTCGGGGTGGGGAGTGATGATTTCTCAGCCGAGACACCGGCAATCTTTACTGATGTTTTCGTGGTTTTCTTCAGTTCCTCCAATGAAATTCTGAGATAGCACTTGAATCAGACCACAGCTTCCTTCCAAATACTTTCCAATTCATCGTTCATCCATTATGCTACCTTATACCGCTAGAGTCTACAATATTGAAAGCACGTAGATCCCCCCCCCCCAAAGACAAGACCTGACCACGCCTGGTATCCAGGCCATTTTAGGAAGGTATTAGTGACACGCACTACGTAGCTATTTGCCCATGTGAGTGTGTTATTTTGTGTCAAGGAATGACTCAGTGAAACACAAGCCTTTGGCCGGACCTGTGAAGTATCTTCTAGACATAATCTTCTCAAATAAAGGAGCAGGAATAGTGTAGTCAGTATAGCGACTGGCTACGGGCTGGACGACCGAGGGTTTGGAGTTCGAGTCCCGGTAGGGTCAAGAATATATTCTTCTCCACGTCGTCCAGACCGGCCCTGGGGTCCACCCAACCTCCTATCCAATGGTTAGCGGGTGCTCTTTCGCCGTGGGTAAAGCGACAGGTGCGTGAAGCTGACCATTCACCAACTAGTGCCGAGGTCAAGAAAATGTGGAAGTATGCATCCACTCCCCCCATACGCCTTCATGGCGTAGTGCTTAATTAGTTAAGCACAGGGACAACTTTACCTTTCTTTTTTCTTTGGCACTACAGCCCCAGTGGGCCTAGGCCTACCTCCATGAACTTCTCCGTTCACTTCGGTTTTTCTAGATCTTACACATACGGTAGGACTCCTTGGGCGGGTGATCAGCTCGTCGCAAGGCCTCTACCTGTACACAAACACAGAAAAACGCACACAAACATCCATGCCCTGAGTGGGATTCTAACCCACGATTCCGGCTTCCGAGCGAGCGAAGACAGTGCATGCCTTAGACCGCTCGGCTACCGTGACCGGCAACATTACCTTTACCTTCCCAAATAAAGCATTAGTTCTATTTTTCTCTTCATAAAATTAGCGAATAACAGAAATTTGTGTAGGGATTATTATATGTGGCATGTTGGTACTTACTGACGTGACAGGTAGACCCTGTCCACCCTGACGCGCATGTGCAGTGATACTGTCCTCCAGTCTCCTGACACGTCCCTCCATTCGCACATGGTGTTGTGGCACAGGGATTATCCACCACTTCGCAGTTGAGTCCAGAGAAACCTTCAGGACAGGTGCAGAGGTACTGGTCAGGTGCGGTATTCTCACAGGTTCCTCCGTTCTGACAAGGTTCGTGGGTCCCGCAGTAGTTCAGATCTACAAACACACAGTCAACTCACTAGTATAAGTTCTATCTTGAGCATTTCCATGGTATTTGTAAATTTAAAATAATCATGCTGGATCCTGGTCTGAGCTTGCTTAATCCAGACACATTCTTACAACCTACTTACTTAAGAAGAAACATACGCCTCAGGTTCACATGCAGTGATATTTCTGAATAAAAATTAAGTTTATATTTCTCATTTTCCTTTCCGTGCTACTTATTTGATAAGTCTTATCGTGGTTGTAAAATCAGTATCGATCAGAATACAGGAAATTTTATTGCGACGAGTTAATACGAGTATTTAACAGTTATGGGAGGCTGTACACTGTTTGAACACATAACATGCAAATAAGGAACGTTTTTATCAGTTGTAGTCTTCTTCCGTCTGTAATGCAACGATATTAATATAGATTTATATGACCCTTATCCACATTTATTTCACTAAAATATTTACAATTAATGTATATTATATTAGTGTGACTGTCGTTCATAATATTATATTTCAGAATCCTGTTGCATTGAAATATCCTTTGTAACTTAACTCTATGTTAAATACGTAACGTAATCGATATATGAAACCTAAACTGGAATTTTACCTTAAATTGAAACAGCAGTATGAGTAAAGGCTAGTGGTATAATTTCTGAAGAGAATCCTTCTTAAGTAGTCGTTCAGCTAGCCAAAAAAAATTCCCCACCTTTTATGGAACCCGAAGATTTATTATCGTGTTCACAGCAGCCTGTTTATGGTTATTATCCTCAACCATCTCAATCCAATTTAGAGCCTCAAATCTTATTTCTTTACGATCTAAACTAAAAAAACTGAACTCTGTCGTCTGTTGTCCGCAGGTGAACTATACCGACCGAGCGACCGCCGCTTGGCGAAGTTAGTGGCAAATTTTGCTGATAGAGGGTGTCGCGTGGTCAGCGCACGGTCGTTAATCTCGGTTCTCTGGACCGGATATTTCTTTATGATCAGTGTTATTATTGTCTTCTAACCTTCATCCAGGTCTCAAACTGGGCTTCATCTGTTAGGTTTTCCTACTAAAACTGACCTTGCATTTCAGTAAATATTATATACAATATTTGAACACCTGTATTTTTATTCTGCTGTGAAGTAGAATTTTAGGCTGTATATTGACATATAACTTAATGCATTATTTAAACTAAGAAAGCGAAATAGAAGATAATGTTGCAGAATAAATTCGAGAAAAAAAAATAGCGAAAATAACACATAACAAAATCAGTGTTACAAAACATAATGTTACACAGATATTTTGTCGTGTTTTGCCTCAGTATCTTCCTCTACTTATACAACAAAGACCAGTGCGATGTTTCAATATAAGCAAGATTCGTTGTGCGTAATTAGTTTGAATTAAAGAGACCCAGACAATCGAATACATGTTTCCTCTCTTCCTTCATCCCAGCACAAAATTTGGAGTCAAGATGCAGTGCAGCGTTCTGTTGCCTGCTGGACTGCTCTGCGTGCCATGTCTTGCCATAAATACCAGATTAATTCAAGATATCCCCCACAGCATTCCTAATAATACTGATGACTATTATCTCAGGTCGGAAGCAGGAATCATATGTTTTGTCTTAGGGCAGAAATCTTCACAGTGTACAGAACAAATCAGTGCTGCAGAGTGGTGCTGAAATGCCACAGTCGAATATTTCGGTCGCGTGGTTAGCACTCCTACGTCATACTCAGTTGGGGGCACGCGGTAGCGTAGTTTGTTGAGGCACTATGGTACAAGCCGGAAGGTCGCGGTATCGAATCCCGATGAGGTGGATTTTTTTCAATTGACCTAATCCTTCTAGCCTC